GAATGTGAACGGCAATGGCTGAGAATGGTTTAGTCGGTGAGGGATTCCTCTACCCAGAGAGCTTGGTTTAGAATCCCAGTTCTGACAACTTTCAGCTTCACAACACAGGGCAAAATCCTTCCCTTCTACATCTGTAATCAGAAATGTCTATAAATGGACTTAATAACCACAGTAACACCCTGGGATGGTCGTGAGAGTGAGCTAACACTGTCAGGCGCTTCTGTATGGGAGATGGTGATGCTGGTAGGGATGACGATGCTGATGGAGAGGATGTCGATGATGCTGATGGTGACAATGTTGATGCTGATGGGGAGGATGTCGATGATGCTGATGGTGATGATGATGTAGAAAATGTACTTACGGAAATGCATTAGAGCTAATTTCATGTGTAACCTAATCTGAAGTGTACCGACCCATTTCCTACAGTAAGTGAACGTCCGCTGTTCTTGAACCATGACAGAGGAATGAGCAGCAGAGAATTCGTCCTGTAGATTTTATTGAACAAGGCACAAGCAGTAGTGCATCCAACAGGTATCATGGAGGACATAGGATGAGAGGTAGGCAGAGGAATCTGAGCATCAGTCCTGATGTTCTCACAGGTGAGCATTACACGCATCTCACACCTCAATGAGGAAACCCAGCCCATGTTCCCATCAAGGGATATTCAGCTATATAGAGTCTATGTTAGGATGAATGACCAGGAGACTGTCAGTAACATTGTCATAGAACAACCATTCTTTAATGTTTGAAATAGAACTGTCTAATGAGTGAAAAAAAATCACATAAAGACCCCATCATCACAAGTAAGACCCAGTAAACGTCACCTAGAGAGACACCTGGTGTCAGGAGCAGACACATGTGAGCACAAGCTTGTACACAAATCACCCCCATGAACAATTGTGAGAGAGTAGGCTACTCCAGGTTAACTACTCCTAACCTTTTCCAAGCTGGGCAGCCTTAAAGAGCCGCATCACCCCTTTCAACATGTTTCCCTATCTGTGACCCGAAGACAATAAAGGATGACAGGGTCACAGGGTGCTTGGAGAATTGTCATCACCATAGCTGACTAAACGAGATAAAGGTAAAATGTTTCCATCTCAGATTCCTCATCAGTAAGACGGAGATATAGTCTATATAGCTCCATGGTGGTTCTTCACGAGAAGAGTGCCCCTCTGTGCCCAGATGCTCCTTATAGAGCTGCGAGCACAGAGTTGAGCAGATCAGAGCTAACACGGGATGGAATATTAACCAAGCAACAGAAAAATGAGCCAGAGTGGACAGGAAGTGCCCAGAAGGCAGTCCCTAAATAGTTGTGTCCTTACTGGTTGGTCCAAGGTGTGACGCTTTCTCTCAGTCAGTGAGGGAAGGAGGGGGGGGGGTCCTGGTTTTATGTTCCAGCCCCAGCTCCCTCTTCCTTAGTCTGGGGTTTGCCACATGGAGACATATCGTCATATCACGCTAAGTGTGGTCTTGTAACTCACAGCCTGGGGGCATCAAGATTGGTGTTTCAAGGGTTGGTTTTATATTTATCTATTTGCAAAGGTTGAGGTGCACCATGTGGTGTGTATATGGAGGTCAGAGGACACTCGGCCTGTGAGAGTCGCTTCTCTCCTTCTGCCATGAACATCCTGGGGACTGAACTCAGGTCCTTGGGCTTGGTGACAAGTACCTTTACTACCTGAGCATACCCCCTGGGTGGAAAGTTGATTTTCAGAGCAGTGATGTAGTCTTCTCTAGGGGCCTCAGTTTCCTAACCAGTGGCCTAGGCTGCCCCCCATTCCCAGAATTCCTCCAACTCCAGACAGGACAACCCCAGATTCAACTGCTCAAGATGCCTCCTCCTCTCTCACAATTACACAGGTCCATCAATCGCTTCACTTATCCACCCTGCCTGTCTTTGGTCCAGGCCTCCCCAGATGCACACAGAAGTCCTGAGCATCCTCTGCCATCCCCAGGGGTCATGTGCCACCAGGGCCTGGAGTTTGCACTGTGGATTTTTTTAAAATGTCTCAGCTGGCCTCCACTCGTCATCCTGAAAGTTGTCCCCTCATCACAATGGTACTTTCTCTTAAAGCATTACCGAAAGTCACAGCTCATAACAGACAGACAGCCTTAGTCATCCACCTCCCTGGAGCTCCCCTCTGCCACATGAAGAAAAAAAATCCCAGTGTAGGACCTCTCATTTCTGTGACAGAATACTTGACAAGAACAAGTCAAGAGAGAAAACTGTCAAGGGACAGTCTCACTGTCTGAGGGCGCGGTCCATCATGCCAGGGCAGACATGGCCACAGGGGCATGAGGCAGCTGGCCACGGGGCATCAATAGCCAGGACGCAGGGAGAGATGAATGATGGAGTTCAGTTCATTTTTTCCTTTTTATTCCATCCAAGATCCCTCCCCATGGGATGGCACTGCCCACACTCAAGGTGTGTCTTCGTCAGGTAAACCAATCTAGAAACCCCCTCACAGACACGCTCAGAGGCTTCTTTCCACACGAGTCTAAATTCCATCCAGCTGTCAATCAAGGATAACCATCAGGGGACCTTGGTCTACTCCACTCTCAGAACCTCTAGAAACCAGCTGGTGACCGGAAACAGTGTTTGCTGAATGGCTGAATGACGCGTGTTATTCCGAGGGTTGTTTCGATGAGTCTGTCTATACTGGGCATCACTGGCATATTGAGCTAAACGTGTATTTCTTATTTTTCTTCCTTCCCTGTATTCTACGTCCACCAGTAAGCAACGGAGTTAAGATGCCGTTTGCTTTGCAAGCTGACAACAGCTGCTTTATGAGGTCGATCTATAGCCCTTGTCCTACCACCAATAACATTTGCTCATTTAACGCATAACAGCAATACGCAGACACACACCCTTCTTGCAAGCAGACAGGGCAAGACACCAACAAGTTCTATACTTCGTATAATGCAATGTCAACCACCTAAAATTTCAGCTTGAACAAAATAAATCTAAAAAGCGGCCTCTTTCAGTTAGAAGCCCTGGGCACATGTGGAAGCCATGGGCTTTCTCTTGCCAATAACTCTGCCCTCCTATAAATCATGGTAATTGTCTCCATGTGCCCACAGCCTACGGGGAGTTTCGCAATACCCTTTGAGGAGATTAGTGGTCCCTGATGTCGCTTATGAGACTCAGGCAAGCATCTGGAAGCAATTTCAGTTAAAGAATTAATGATTTTGAGGTTCAATAATACAGGGCTTAAAAAAATAAATAAATACAGGAAACTTTGTTAGCCCCGGGAACCTGTGGGTTTCCCTAGCTGAGATAAAGGGACCGACAGTCCTCTGTCCCATTTGTTGAATCTGTGTGAGTGCTTGGTTGATGTTTAGAAGGTCACATGGCAGATTAAAGGCAGTCTTAAAGTGGGGCCTGCAGAAGGGAAACTCTGTTTTCTTTGGTCTCTTTCTGTTCATTCTGGGAGAACCAGGAGGGGAGATGCATCGGAGGTTCATGGGGCTGGAGGACGGCAGGTGCCTGTCTGGTGATTCAGGCTGTAGACATGGTGGCGAGGTCCCACTCGGGGCTTCATTCTTTATTCCTATTCTGGAACAGGACACGGGGGATGGCGCAGACCCCATCCTTCAGTCTGAAATCTTGGACTGCTGAGTTTCCTGTTGGGAGGGGACCAAACATTTCAATACAAAATATTCATTCTCTGTAGATTTCCAGAGAAAATGTGCCTTGGATTCTAGGGGCCCAAGTGACTTTGCTATTGTTCCCCAAGGATGTGTCTACAGTAGTGAATTGAGCTGGAGGGTTGGGCCATTGCCTGCATCACCTAAATACAAAGCCACGGCTATCTCTCCTTTCCGGAACGAGCTCCTCTTCAAGACCCGCGCACCCTCGGACTTCTTATGCTGTCTCAAGACCTGGGGGTTGGAAAGTTCAGCCCTTTCCCTGGTGTTTCTTCTGCATCAATCACTGTTATGTTTGTTTTCTTTTGAAAGCTTTTCCAAAGGACTGGCCAGCTTGATCCATTTAACCCTAGGTGGGAGAGAGATCCCCAGCCTGTGCAGTTTGAGACTCAGATCGGGGTGGGCCCCCCCCCCAGGTTTGGAGAGCTGGTGGCTGATAAGAGTCCTAGGCTTCCAGCTTCAGAACCTTTCACTTCCAGCCCCAGTCAGATCCTATCCGCAGCACACTGCCCAGACTCCTGAGCAGCCCATGAAACAAACCCCAGCGTCAGTAAGCATGCAGGGACATTGCTGGAACCTAGTGACACCACAAGGGAGCACCGGGAAATTGGGGGAGCGGGGAATAGGTTCAGGAGTGTGTGGAGAAACCGCTCTCACCAGGACACGTCTGGGGCATAGTGTCTGGCACTGAGGGGGACGTGGGGGGACGACGACGACGTTGTTTTGTTTTAAGCCTGGATAGTGGGATACACATAATTGGGTGAGATACAGAAAAACGAGTCTAGCCTTCTCCACGGAGCACACGTATCAGTACACATCCCACTGAACCACTGGTATACGTCCCACTGAGTCCAATCGTTCGTTCACCTAGATAGTTCCTCCACAGCTGCAAGCGACTTTGAATTCCAGATGTCCCCAGACCTCAGAAGAAGATGACCTGAAGTTACCGATGGGGTAACTGACGACCGCGAGACCTCGCGGTGACCGTGGGAGGTGGTAAGACTCAGAGCTCAAGGGTTTAGCTCCATCCCGCGTGGCGGGCACCTGGGCAGAGCCTCCTGTAGGACGTGGCTGCGTGGAGGCAGGAAGCTTGAAAGCCGGGGATCCGCTGTGGGAGAAGAGGATTTCAAGTCTGCAAGGCGCCTTGTTCCTGCCCCCAGTCTTGGTCCCCAGGCCAGCGCGCCCCGGGCCTCCTGGCCCCTCTAGCATCCTCCTTCCATCCGGCCGCGGGCGGGGCCGGAGGTGGGCGGATCCGGAGGGTGTCGTGGGAGGGCCCGAAGTGGGCGGGCCCGGGGGCGGGATCAGCAGGACCGCGGCTGCAGCCGGAGAAAAGTTGTCTGGACCAGCTCAGGAGCAGCTGCGGGAGCCGAAGCGCTGCCGGGGGCGGCCCCGGGCATGGGGCAGCCGGCACGGGGCCCGGGCTGGCGATGGGTGGCGTGACAGCGACCACGATGCGCTCCGAGGGCGCGGCCCCGGGGTGGGCGGCGCGGTACAGGGCACTGAGCCTGGTGCTGGCGGCTCTACTGGGTCAAGGTAAGGCGGACGCTGTCGGGGATCACCGGGTCCCTCGTCGGGGGCTGATGGGAAGCCAGGGCCCGGGTAGAGAGGGTAGCGCTGATGATGAGGGCTCCGGGTCCCACCGAGACCTCCCAGTTATCGAGACAGCGGATTCCGGCCGCAGCTGCGAGCCATTGAGCTGTGGCTGGGGATCCGCCGCGGCAGCCCACCCCGAAGCCCTGCTGCCTCCCTCCCGGAGAGCGGTGGGGGGGGGGGGGGCGCGGGGGACGGGGGGCGTGGCTGCCGGACTCTGGGTCTGGGCTGCACCCTGAGTTCTATATGGAGCTGCGCACCCTAGACTCGGTGCAGCTGCGGGACGCGGGGAGGACCCTGGTTTCCCGCGGTCCCTTCTACAGCTTTGAGAAACCCAGGACTTTCCGCCCCACATTTAGACCGAGCGGTGGAGTTGGGGGAGCATCAGGCGGCTCTGGTTTCCAGCGAGTCCACTGACAGGCTCCCACTTCGGTCCTTTGCCCGGAGCTGTGGGAACCAGGACTCTGCATGTTTCTGGAGACTTGTGCAAACGGGCTGACGCAGGCTTGCCAGGGCTCTCGCTGCTGCTAAGGTCGCTAAGTCGGATTATTACCCTTCTGTGGGTCAGGTTGTCTATGGGCGGGGCTGTAGAAACAGAGCCGCTGGCTTCAGGCGCTCAGAGTCCCGGAACCCTAGGGTGCGGTAGGGGCGCCCTGGTGAGGTTCTAGCGTGCTATAGGTTAAGCCTGGATGTTCTACGGTGTTCTGTGCTCACCCGCAGTGAGGCGGGTTCAAGCTCAGCCATTGACAGGACCGGACTGAGATTTCTCTCTAATCCACCCGGCACGAATGTCAAGACCTCTCTCCAGCCCGGTGCTCCAGGGCTGTGTTGGAAATGTATCCGGGCAGACAAGTTGTCAATTGGTGTTTAAAAAGTAGAATTTGCTTTACAAAAGTCCTTACTGCGCTATGGAAACTGGGGGATGCCCCTTATTCCAGGAGCATTCCCCCAGACAAGCCTACCATGCATTATGTACGCTGTGCTTCCTCCCAATGGGTCCTGTTTCCCCAGAGCCCCGGGTAAACTGGGGCTCGGGTGTTTATTAACCCAGAGGCTACTCTCAGCACACACCTCCCGGTGGATTCCCATCACTAAATAGATTAATGGGCATTTAGAAAGAAAAAGAGAAAGAGACCCAGATTTCACTCCGGATCAAGCAGAGGCTGTTATTGCAGTGGCCGGTGTAGACCTTGGACTGGCGATTGAAGGCGCTGGGGTGGGGCTGGCATGGTGGAGATCGCCCATGTGATACAAAGCGTCCCCCTCTCCCCCAGGCACCTGGATTTGCTACATTTCACTGTGTAGGGCTCCTAAGGTTGGTCCACGAAGCATCGTGTGCTAAATGTGTTTTCACTTTGCAGTGTTGATCAAAAGCTTGCAGCTCATTCTGTGTTCCCACAAAGCAGCCTGATGTTTACTCTGTAAGACGTTGCATGCATGCACAGGCGGGTGTGTGTTTGCACCTGTGTGCAGAGGCAGGCGACCAACCCATAGTGTCTTCTGGGGTCAGTCAGTCTCCACCTTGTTTTTTGAGACAGGGCTTCTCACTTTGCAGAGAGCTCTCTTGTTTTTGTGCCGAGAGCTCTCTCATTAGGCTAAGCCTTCGTGCCAGCGAACCCCTAACCTGTCCATCACGGCCTCAGCGCTGGGATTGCAGCCTGCTCCATCTGCCCCGCTCTGCTGCTGTTTTCTGAGTCTGGGATTCAGGTCCTCCAGGTTGCACGTGCACGTGCGTGAGTCTGCCACTAAGCCACCTTCCAGCTCCCCCCACACAATGTTTTACAGAAACAAACACCTTCTCGTCCTTGTTTAAATTTCCACTGTCTTAAAAAAAAAAATAACCATGCCAAACCTGTGTGGGTTTCTGGAACCCTGGAAAACTGTCTGGTCATTAGCACCAACCGAAGTGTGTGTTTTTGACTGTTGATGCTGAAGCTTCGCCACTCACCAGGGTTTGCAGAAAACACAGTTGTTCTTGCGAGTTTCCATAAATAGGACAGAGCATTGAAACAGAGGAATCGTTCTCTGAGATTTAGACCCAACTTGAGCTGAAACAGGCTACACCTGCCAACCTTCAACGACAGGTGGAAGGGTCTGAAGGGCTGATGGGCTCCTCGGGAGGGCTGTGAGGGCTTCTGCTCAGGTGTGGGGCCCCAGCAAAGGTTGGATCCAGCCGTTGTCCTCTAACTCACCTGACCTGTTGTAAGGTCCGCAGTTACTTCAATGTGCATATGCCCCGGTGAACAGAGACCTCCGTGGGGGGTGTGAGCTGCAAGCAGTGCCCATGGCACTGGCATCACACACCTCACCGGTGGTGCACGAGGCACAGGCATCTTTGAATAGAGGAGGCTTTAGAGACCTGAAGTGGCTTCAGAATCAGTGCTGTCCACTGAAGGAACGAAGTAAAGATGAGCAGTTCCTTGGCATCTCAGCACTATGGCGCCTAGGGGGACCTTGTGGAGGGGTGTGGGGGGAGGGTTGAGAAGGGTTCTTCTCCCCTGCCCTCAGCCATGCTGTCAGTGGGGTCCAGGGGCTCTGCTCAAATGCGCATCCAGCCTCTTCCATGCATCACTCAGCATCACCATCTGTTCGGCCTTTCAGAGGTCCCCCAAACCCCACTGATGATACCCCATCAGACCTTGACTTGCCTCAGTTCTCCCCTCTAGCCCGACTCTCAGCACACATGGGCTGTCTACAGGATGTTTGCAAAAACTAGACAGATTGCTGGCATCTTTTAATGAGAGAAGTCACACAGTTATATTTTAATTCAGTAAAAAAATAACATTTTTAGTCTTAAAAATGGGAGAAGGCATGTGAAAATATCCAGATTCTGAAGTGTCTGTGTCAGACTCCTAAGCCACACTGCACACCTGCATGCAGATTTTATAAGTAAATTACCAAGCCAAAAAAAAAAAATCTTCTATTTTCTATGAGTTGTATGTCGTCTTCTTGTAATTTTTATTGTGTGTGAGTGTTTGCTGCCTGTAAGTCTGTGCACCATGTGTGCAGTACCCATGGAGGCCAGGAAAAGGTATTGGAGACCCTGGAACTGGCGTTACAGATGGTCCTGAGTCATCATGTCAGTGTTGGGACTGGAACCCAGGTCCTCTGGAAGAGTAGCCAGTGCTCTTAAACCCCGAGCCGTCCCTCAAGGACCCAGTTGTCTTCTTTGTCCAAAAGTCGTGTTTAATGAGGGGAAAATGCATACAATGAAATTTGTCCCTTTAAGATATATAGTTGTAAGTTTTGATTAACACATACACGTGTCAACTTTTGGATCACCTTCAGCAACCCTGTGTCCTCTCCCTCCTCCATCCACAGTTGCTGACACACCGGTCTTGGTCTCTGGACCTTTCCTATTTTAGTAGCAACACCATGATGGGCTTACACCGTGGGTGGCTTTCAGATCTGCAGCTGTGCAGACAGCATCATGCATTCCATAGTCACCTTTGCCCCAGTGCTGGGCCTCCCTTTTTAAATGCTGAGTAATAGTCCTGCTCAGTTTTCTTGTTTCTCACATGAAGGCCATTTGAAGGACTCCGCGTTTTATTGATTATGAGAATATTGTGAATATTCACAGACAGGGTTTTGAGTGGCATGCATTTGTTCCTCCTGGTTAAGTATCCAGGCCTTGGAGTGTTGTCAAGTGATTTGGTAACTTTGGCTTTTTGTTTTCTCTCAACTGGGTTATTTTGTATCATCTGCAGCACTTGATATTATTGCTGTTTCTTTGGTCTGCCAATTCCAGTAGCCCAGTAGTTTGTATTTCTTTGAGACTTTCAAGCTCTTTTCTCTTGGTGTGTTCATGCATGTGTGTGGGTGCAGGTATGTGGAGGTCAGAGGGCAACGCAGACAAGTGGTTCTCTCCTTTCCACTGTGTGAACTCCAGAGGCAAAACTCAGATTGTTGGGCTTGGCAGCAAGCTCCTTCGCATGCTAAGCCATCCCACTGGCCCTTCTTTAGGATTTTACTTACTTTTTATTTTTTAAGTTTTATTTACTTCTTTGGGGTTTTGTTTATTCTCAGTCTTTGACAGATAAGGTGGCGTGTCCTTGGGTTTCATGATCATCTGTACATCTCCTTTGGTGAAATAACTTTTTCAAATGCTGCACGCCCACTTTAAAAATCGGTTGTTTACTTTCTTACTGATGATTTTTCAGGCAGTTTCTGTGTTCTGGACATGAGTTCTCATCAGACAGTGTCTGAAAGATATTTCTTTTCAGTTGTCCTAGGAAAATCATATTTTAAATTTTAAAGAAAATTTCTCTTAATAAGTGGGCTGTTGGTGCCAAATCTAGAAGATCATCCTCTAAGCCAAAATCACAAGACACTGGGGCCAGTGAATGCAGGCGAGTCCAGTGCCCTCAGAGGCCAGAAGAGGGCAGTAGACCCCTTGGAACTGTAGCTACAGAAGGTTGTAAACTGCCAAGTGGGTGCTGGGAACCAAATCCAGGTCCTTTTAAAAAGCAGCCTGTACTCTTAACCACGGAGCTATGTCTCTAGCCCCAAATCATTGCCTTTTATATTTTAGTGTTGGTGGTTTACAAAGAACATATAGTTGGGTTTCCTTTGTTTATCTAGTCTGTTAATCTCTGTCTTTTATTTTTTTTAATATTTTTTATTTATTATGTATACAATATTCTGTCTGCATGTATGCCTGCATGCCAGAAGAGGGCATCAGATCTCATTACAGATGGTTGTGGGCCACCATGTGGTTGCCTGGAATTGAACTCAGGACCTTTGGAAGAGCAGGCAGTGCTCTTAACCACTGAGCCATTTCTCCAGCCCCAATCTCTGTCTTTTAATCATCATGTTTATACCATTTATATGTAATATAATTATCTGCATGTTTAAATTAGGAACTGACACTGTACACACTGTTTCCCTTCATGGTCCTTTTGCTCCTTACTCTTCCCATGACTTTTCCTGCTTTAGGGTTAAGC